TTTTTTTTGCTAACTGCAAATTGATTTTGACTCATGGTGACCTTAAAAATGAGAGTTTTCCAAATCTCCCTGTTATCAATAGGATTTGAAAACTTAGGGCAGCTGAAGCTTCTTTGATGTTGATATCCATTTGTAATAAAGACTTCTTTTTTCCTACTGCCTCCCACCTTACCAAGCATTATTGTCTTTTCTACTGAATCATGTCTTCCCATGACAGCTTACTCATCTTGGCTTCTAGGGAGAGTTTCTGTACCATTGCGGTTTATGTTTGACTAGAGTCAGGAGCTGGGCATTGAACTCCTCATGGGAGGGCTATTCAAATATAACTATGCTGCAAAGAATAGAAATTGATTTTTCTATCACCAACTTTCATGCTCAGTGTGTAATATAAAATAGTTGAGCAAGGACAGGTAATCGGAAGTCCTTGTTAGAAAAATAAAGAATTCTTCCACCTTTCCTCCACTGCACCAATGTCATAGTTGGTTACAAAAAGGGGTTAAACTTGATTATTGTTCACAACATATGGAAATTTCAGATTTTTAAAAGTGCTTCAAGATTTTTAGCCATAGGTTGATCAGTACTTGAATCAACTTTAATCAAGAGTTTCACGCTCCAATCAAGGAGAATCATTATTAAAAGAAAGGGTACAGTGGCAAACAAGTTGGCAATCTTTATCTGATTTTGTCAACATACGTTTCAGTGTTGTGAATGTGAATCTTGGTTTGAAATCCTGATTGACTTCCTCGGGGACACTTGTAGAACATAGTTATCTCTGGAACTGTGAAACTGAATGTAATACTATAAAAACTATACAGTATTTAGTATGGTACAATAATACCTCTGAATGTTGGAAAACCCAGTTCTTTCAAGTAGTTGGTCTCTTATAAATGCAGGCTTGGTTTTCTTGTTGTGTACAACAGATAGGGACAGGATGTCATATAAAATAAGGGATATGCTCTCTTTTCGGTGTTGTAGAGGAAAGAAAAGACTGTTCTGGTCAGGATTTGACCATGAATTGGGGGAGAGAACAGACTTATTTGTTTTTTAAAAATATTTTGGTATCCTGCTTGGACATAATAATGTAATGTTGTGTTGTAAATTGACAAAAAGGACAGAGGAGATTATTCAATCCGAAGAGAAAGTGAACAAGAGAGAACAAAAGAGGAAGCCATGGTTTTTACTGAAGTCCCCACAGACCATATTGTCTTGACTCCATTCATAGGTCTAAACGGAAAAAAGCGAACAATAGCCACAATGTATAGCTGGTGGCATAGTTTGATATGCAATTTGATATCAATTTATAAAAATGTGTGTGTAATATTAAGTGTGATACTTCAAACAAGCATTTGAGAATGACTAGTCCCTACTTATAAATGTCCAGTCCCTAACTCACCAGATAGTACTCTGTTCTCTGCACTTCTTCCAATCCTCAGGCCCAATTCGATGCTGTTTTGCATTATCCCATACCTGGTCCTTTTTATAGCCTGATCATGCCCATCTTAGTATTTCTGGCTATTTTATTTTGTTGTGTATTGTCTGACTGAGTTTTAAGGCTGCTGTTTTTATACTCCAATGGTTTATTTAATTGTGTTTTATCTGATTGTTATGTTTTGCTATGTTTTATTTTAATTGTATTTTGTTTTTAATAGATTGTTTTGCTTTTTTGTTTTTGCCTTATGTATTGTAGACATTTTGTTCTGTGTGTAAGCCATCCCGAGTCCCTTTGGGGAGATGGAGGTGGGGTATAAAATAAAGTTATTATTATAGTTATTATTATTATTATTATGAGGCTTTTTGTTTCAAAATTGGCTTACAGGAAATAAAGCTCTACTAAAGTACTAGAAAATAGTTATATAGAATCTAAAATATACACATCAGAGCCGAAATCCTTACCTAATAGTCTCATCTAGAATAGGCTCAATTTAATTTTTTTTCTAGATTTCCACTTAATTATTCAACAACTGATTTGATGGATCTGGTGACAGAGCTAGACTCATACAAGCTTCTAGTTTCTGCTGGACCTCAACTCCAAAAACCATGACCTGTATAGCTAATGGTGAGCAATGCTGGGAGATGGAGTCCAACAATGCCTGAAGGGTCACATGATACCTACAGCAGCAGCTGGATTTTTTAAAAAGAACATCTCTTCCTCAGGGACCAAATTAAGTCCAAGTTTTTTAAATAGATATTGTTTGCTCACTTACTTGTATTAATTGTCTTCATATTAAATTTATGTTTGCTTGCAGCACTTATCTGTTACTGATGTTTAGCAAATTTTTGCCTCTACTTTCATCTTACTTTCCTATCACCAGTCTCTTGCTTCCTTTGTAAGGAAAAGGGTCTTACGCTTCACTGTGTGGATGTGAAGACATTGGCTGAAAATTCTTTCATTCCTGACTAGAATATACTCACTGAATCCATTAGAGATGTCCATGTGTTGACTCACCATTCAATACAATTGACTGAATAGATCTACTCTACTGGGACTAACCAATAGGATGGCAGCCGTTACATTGTCATTGAAGAGCAGTATACATTTTTCCAGAGAAAATTCCTTACTAGCCTGCTTCTGCTGATGGCTTCTTCCTGCGAAATTCACTCAGTCATATTTTTCATTGATATTAATCAAAGCTGCAAATCCTACACTTATCTACCTTGAAGAAAGCCACATTGAATACAAGAGAGTGAACATTTGACTAGATAGGCTTAGGACTGCAATCTAAATAAAAATGCTGAAGTATTTTCATTGAAGAAGTGATTTTAACATCTTCTCCTGCAACCAAGAATGCACTGTTTGCCTTGTTATCTCAGAACTTCTTCCATTTCGCTTACTTTTTGGATTGACAGTTTACTTCCCTCCTTCACTTTAGTTCATTCTCTTGAAAATGCTATCGCTTCTTGTTTTCTCTTTCTGTTACTTTTCCAAAACTTGGCTTCAGCCCATGAGATGTCAAAGTCTTGCTAACTCCTTCCAAATACACAGGTCGATATTTTATATTGAGGTTGTATCCGCTATGGATACAGTGATGCATGAATTACATTATGTAATTCTTGTGTTAAATGACAAAGTTGCACAACCAAATATACAACCAAATGCTCAACTGGATACTCAACTAGATATACAACCAAATATGCAAACAAATGCACAAACAAATGTGCATCTATATGCACAGTAAACACTGCACAGATAACTCCTCTTCCATGGCCTTCAACTGAATGTGGGTTGGACAATAATGTCCAACTCGAATGTTGTCTTGTCTCCAGCATCTGCTTTGTTACCTCTGCCCTTCTTTTACATTGCATGAAGTTCTTCCTAAATTGTGCTCTTCCAAATTAAAGGAAAATATCCTCTCTCAATTTCCTTGTTACAGGTCATCAGGGCTTCACCTGTAATTCCCCCCTGTTCTTGCCATCTACTCCGCAAAATGTCAGGAAGCATATTTAATTTCTAAAAGTCTGATGGTTTCCAAATTTGATACTGACATCAAATTACCCTGATCTTTCCATTAGTGGCCCTTCCACCTTGGGACCATTAAGATACATTCTTTTCCATTTCTATTGTCCTTTCATCTTCCCTTTTGGTTGTATTTATTAAACTGAAAATGTTTAGAGATCTATTTATTTATACAATCTTTTTGCTGCAGTACAGTTAGTGTCTATGTTATTCATTGATTGGTAATAGATTTATACTTGTTTTACTTGTTGCTTCATCAAAAAATTAGAATAGTATAATTATCTAGTAATAATAAGAACTGCTCTGACATTCTTGTACAGATAAGAACCTTTGTATATATTTTGGGTTTGGATTCTGGATCCTACATCTCTTTGTCATAAATGAAGTTTCAATTCTGGTGCAGATCATAAATTTTGTCTTCACTAAACTGGCACATATTTCTACAACATTACTAAGATCACTGTTTCTTCTACTTTCCTAGTACCTGTAATGTTCCTTTTATGTTTTTGTTTTTACAGTTCTGCCTTAATATCTGCCGTTTTCCTGCTTCTCTACTAATATGGGTATGATGTTTTTGCACATGGGAAACAACTACAATTTTCCAGGGATGAAATATACCTAACACGAGCTTCCAAACCTTTGCACTACTAAGGCCAAAGGAATTTTTGGCAACACACTTTTTTAAAACGGGTATGCACAACCTCTTCAGGGGTAACTGACCTTACTTCCGGAGTCTTTGCTTCCACACTCCCCTTTATCGTACCACCATTTGCTTTTCAGCTTGTCTAAGACGCCTTGCTCACTGAGTTTCAAAACCGCTAGGTTTACGGGACCTCTTCAAACCAGGGGGGGAAATAACATAAATAACATTACCAATGTTATTTTATGTTATTCAGCACAGACAGTTCATTCACAGCATTCATTGAACAAGTTATACATTGACAAAGTGATACGAATGAATACTCCTTCTGGCCAACCCACCCTCCTTGGCCATTCCACCCAGCCCCACCTCTCCCAGCACATTCGCACCCCTTTGATCCTCCAGCATAGCAAGAGGAGTATTACTATATCACTTTGAGTAACCAGCAACCTCAACCACCTGCCAAGAGATACTTGCCGTGGCCTTGCCAATGCTGATGACTGCAGTCCATTCCTATCTACAGAACCATCAGCGAAGAGCAGAACCCTGCAGAGTATCTTAGTCCCCTTGCCATGGTCATGCTCAAGAGATCCAATGGAAACTTTAATAGTGGAAGGTGCAGGAAGCAGAGAAGGTTTTAGAGCCATGAGCCAGCATGATTTTGTTCCCTTCCACTAGAAGAAAGGTTGCCATAATGATCGTGCAGGCATCACTTCCAGGTCTACAGTGGCATTTGTCCCTTGCCCTGATAAATTAAGTAGAATATACATTCTCCCCACTCATGGAGTCCTGTCCAATAGTGTTTGCTCACCCCAAGAGTCTGAACAGAAAGCTGTGTTGGCAGTGTGGTTGCTGGTTACTATCCATGCCATTTATACCCGCTAGGTTGTTCTTACTGAGGCTGACCTTGGAGTCACCTCCCCCGCTGCCGCACTCGCCCTTGTCGTACCACCATTTGTTTTTCAATTTGTCCAAAAGCCCCTGCTCGTTCAGTTTTAATACTGCCAGGTTTACTGGGTTTCTTTAAAATGAATAGATAACACTCGATGAGTAACAGGCGGAGAACACTTGGAAAGTCATGTGACAATAAGGGATCGGTGAACCAGCACCCTTTAGTGTGTATCAGGATTCTTCCCCTGGGAATGTTTGATATCTCTTTTAACTAGAAAAGAAAATTAAAAAACAAAAACAAAAAGTGGGATGCTAGTATGTGGGTGGACATGGAACTGGAGCTATAATACCACTCGCCTGCAAGTGGGAGATTTTGCAGTGCCAAAGATGCTGCAGGGAATGGGATCCCAGAATTCCTACTGCTTTAAGAAACAGCTGCTCATGCAGGATGCCTCCCTCCAGAGCTGGTGAATGGATAAGAGATAAAATTTGATCTCCCAGTGGTGGCATGGGGTTGCTTTCTGAAATAATTATGTGCAAGAGTAATGGAGGGGTCATTTGTCAAACTGCAGCTATGACTCAATAATTTGACCTTTGCTAAAAGGGAAAAAAATCATCCCATACAGGTAATAATTTAAGAAAGGGTTTGGGGAGTCTGGCTCGCCTATTCCTCCTGAGTGATCCTCATGTCACAAAAAGACATATAAAAACAATGATTAGTAATAATTTCTTTTTTAAGAAACAAAAAGGAAAGAACAAAAATAATCAATTTAAGAACTGTAACATGTTCAAATCAACTGAGAGAAAACTTCAGACATTTCACAACATATAACAAACATAGGAAGAGAGATCATCATCTTTTTAAAGCCTTCAGATTCTATTGAAGTCAATGGGACAGATCCTATGTAACTATGCAGATTATACTGCAAAGAATAAATTATTTTCAGTAAACATTTCCTTATGCACAACTTATATCTCTTTCTGTGTCTAAAGGCACAAGAGTTGTGCTACAGTTCAGGCGGTCTAGTTCAACCTAGGTTTTGAATGCTGACTGGAGAAAGACAGAAAAGGTGATAACTAAAGGGCAGAGATTGCTATTCCTGTGGTATTCATCTCTTTATTACCCAGGCATTACACAGTGATTAACAGATTATTAAATGAAATTGTCCAAATGGGAACAGCTGAGGGATATGTGAAAATCACTGAACAATAGTTTTTGGCCAGGTATCCCTTTTCAGGCATGCCTACTCCACAAAGTTGTTATGAGGACATAATAGGGGTGAGGGGTGAGGGGTGGGTGAGAAAGTTGTATGTTGCATGAATTCCTTGAACAAATGGTTGGGTATAATTTTAATCCATAACATCAGTAATCGCTGCAATACATTTCACAGTGGGATGTGACTTTCCTGTAGAGTCCGAGGGAACTCTCGGCAGTTCAGGATGCCAAACAATGAAAATATGAGATTTATTTTAAACCCCACTGGTTGAAAGTTGATTTACCCAGACACAATTGAAGCATGTCTGAGATAGTATCTTCCTTTATCTGTGAAATCAGCTGTGGAGGCCTGCCTTCCGATTCTATAATCCTCTAGTGGAAAATGGAAAGAGCAAAAGGTGTAGCTTTTTGGTCATGGAAAATGGTATTCTGTAGCTCATTAATGTTGATAGCAGTATGCTATTATGATTTTAGGACAATAGTATATCTCTGCCTATTTATATATATATCGTGTGTGTGTGTGTGTGTGTATGAGAGAGAGAGAAAGGAAGAGAGAGAAGTGGGATTTGGTATTCATGGTTGGAAGAGCTAAAGAAGTAGTATCTCAAAGAATGCTACTTCTTTGATACCTTCCCAGAAAGAAAGTTCAGTTCCAATTGCCAGGTGTCTTGGAGTGACTGTGAAGTGGAGCAAACACTGTTCCCATCCAAGAATCAAACAGATGCTTGTAGGACAAGATACAACTTGGACAAGTTTCTTTTTTTTGATAATGATGATAATTACTACTGTTGTTACTACTGCTACAGGGTATAAAAGGTAAAGGTTGTCCCCTGACATTGAGTCCAGTCACGTCTGACTCTGGGGTGTGGTGCTCATCTCCATTTCTAAGCCGAAGAGCCAGCGTTGTCCATAGACACCTCCAAGGTCATGTGGCTGGCATGACTACATGGAGTGCTGTTACCTTCCCGCCGGAGCGGTACCTATTGATCTACTCACATTTGCATGTTTTCGAACTGCTAGGTTGGCAGAAGCTAGGGCTGATAGCGGAAGCTTACGCCACTCCCTGGAATCGCACCTGCAGCCTTTCGGTCAACAAGCTCAGCAGCTCAGCGCTTTAACCCACTGCACCTCCGGGGGCTCCTACCACAGTGTATATACCCTTGCAATTAACATTAAGACAAGTTAAACAAGAAAATACCCATATTTACACAATGTGCCATTGAATCTAATGTGCCATTGAATCTAACGCATGCCTCCATTTTCAAAACCTTGAAACAAAAAAAATGTTTGCTGGCAAAAGTAACACACAGTGGCAAAATGTGCACTCTGTAATTTGGCCAATAAGGCCACAAGGAGAGGCAGGTAAGAAATAAATAACAACAACAACAACAACAACAACAATTAGTTCCCAGGTCAGAACTTAATTAATTAATTGACTGTTTGATTTTATATATAGGACCAGAATGCATATCTATATGCTCTCGCTTGGGGCAAGATGTTTCAAAACAATTGACAGTTTTGGGGTGGCATTCTTTCTCGTCAAAAATAAAAAAAATTCTACTGATGGCACTAACCAGAATTGACCCATTGAATTAATGGGATCAATGATGTTTTGTTTCATCATTTCACAGCATTCAACAATGGGCTTACTCCAGATAAATCCCTTCCCTGTTCAGCAGTTTGGATATAGTTCCAATGACACAAACATTGCTTATGCACTTGGCTTCCTTATATGAGCTATTCTTGAATACTGAGCATGTAAACAGTGTAATACACAGAGATTATTCTTTCTATGTTCTAAAGCGGAAAAACACCTCATTTGTTTAGCAGTCTAAGAAGATGTAGTTATCAGTGAACATGAAAGAATATTTTAATGCCTGCGTGGGAATATATGGCGTTATAACGCTGAGCAAATCCTTTGTTGTTCTGTAAGTATGGATCACTCTGCTACACTGTCACGTTGTTTGTTCCATGGCATTTCTCCTCCCTAAGAGACTAAATTGAAAGTAATTGATTCTCTTTCGCTGTTCATATAGCATTTTCCAGGATCCGACAGTCACAGAATTCTTTGTAAAAAACAGAGTTGGCTGGCACATTTCCTCTGATGTATGTGAGTTTTTAATGTTTGACAGGGAACATTTTATTCATTTAAATGACTTGGAATAATTGCCATACAAGTTTATTAGACCTCCAGAGAGCATTGCTTAAAGGTTACAACATCAAAAAGTAAAGCTTATTGCAAAATAGATGTCTACCTCTTCCCCAATTTCGTTTTACTTATTTAACATAAATGTGCACTGTGTTTCTGTGTGTGTGGAGGTATTAATCAGAAATCTTGTACCATATTTGTTTAACATATTGAGCTCATACTGAAATCCTGTAATTTGAAAATGTCATGCATATATACCTCCCCCACCCCAACTTGAGTGTTTTGGGGAGATAGAGTGGAATATAAATAAAGTGTTGTTGTTGTTGTTGTTGTTGTTGTTCCATATTGGACAGGTAGGCATTTCCACTTCTGTCCAGGATAAATTACTCTTTCAATGTGTGTTAGTAAACCTGATTGTTAGTGAAGAAGGTTCAAAATGAAGTGTAATCTTTAAAACCTGATTATAATTCACCAGCAGATGCTGCCTTGTTTGCTGAGAGTGGGCTTTTTTTTGCTGCCTCTCTCTTGCTCACAGTACCCCAAAGCTTTCTTGACTAGGTCAGGCTGTGGTAAGAAGCCACAGAGAGAAGAGATGAACTATGGGAGAGGCTTCCTCTTGAAGGAAAAGTTGAAGAGGCAGTAGCTGCTGCCGCTACTGCTACTGCTGCTCTAGGTCTATGAAGTCCAAAGGAGAGTAAAAAGAAATGAAGTATCCTCCTCCATGTCTTCATATCTGCTTCCCTGAAGCACCAGGTTGTGAATATGCATAACTGATCAACTACATTTATTGGCATACATGCATGTTTGCTGCCTCAACTAGGGATGCACTTTTTTGCCCATTTTCTTCTCAAATGAAGCAACAAATAATTTTAGCCATTTTCTTTTTGCAGTTTCGGAGACTTTCTGCAGTTTGAGATTTATCCCATGCCAAATCCATGCAAAAGATTTCTAAGTAGAAAATGCAAGGGGAAAATGGCTAGAATTATTTGTTTTGTGAACAACACAACCAGGTGCACATTTACTATACAATAAGTTCCAAAGAGTAATAATTCTCATTAGCCTGAGTTTCTTTTTGTCTGATTACCTGAGAATTTTTTTAATTATTTTTAATAACATGTTTGAACCTTTGCCTCATTCCTAGCCCCAACCTTCCTACTGTGTGTATCTCTCAGTGAGCCCATGGCCTGCTTGGTATTGTTCCTCAGCAACTTCTCTGAAATATAGTAGTGCTAGGGCAACATACGTAGCCAGTTGCAGCTGCTTTTCCAATCACATAAGAGTAAGGGGAAGAAATTCTGGAACCCAATGTTGTTTCCATAGTATCCAGGTCTATGAATGCTTCCATAGTGTTCCTGCACCTGCCTCCTAGCAATGTTTGCCAGTAAACATCAGCCATTCTCTTCAACTCCACCAGCTGCTCTTTGGAAATGAATGAATGTGATAACCTCAGTAAAATAAATGCAATGGAGAATCATTGCATGAGTTGCCAATCTTAACTAGAGAGAGGCATATTTGTAGTTTGAAATTGTCTGATTGGGAACATTCACATATGATGCAAAGGCTACTTCTTACTTGTTCCCCTGGAGTAGCTCTTGATCATTATTGCTCCTATGAAAGTTAAGGGGAAGACTTTGCAATGTGTGTGAACATTCTGGACAATGTAAATTCAGGGTTTACAGTACAACTCTGACTAAAAGAAGAACTATGGCTGCAGTCTTTATTTACCTAAAGAGCAAATCCTACTGAACACAGTGGGATCTACCTGTCAGCAAACACCATAGGATTGTGATGTGCTTGTGATCTGATGAATGCACTGTATGAATTACTAAGAGAGGTAAGAAGAGCAGCCTGGAATGATGCAGAGATGAGGAGTAAGATGAGCTATTGTAAGAGCAGGAATTTACCAGCTGAGTCAAAAATGTATTGCATAGACCAAAGTAAAAATTTTGACCTAGCCAGTGATAATTCCCAACCACTCTTTGATAATTTTAGTTTCTGTCATATGTGAATCTCCAGTCTAGTTTATACAAGACTGATGCTCTATTTCAACCTCTACCAACATTAACTGTAGCCTTTGCCCTATTGACTATACTGCAGTTCTGTGGCATGGCCTGCACGATTGTTTGTATGGTCTTGCTTGTATGGGCTTCAGTTTGTTCACTTCCACTTGGAAGCTTTTCCAGTAATTTTTTACTCCCTAACATTTAAATCTCACATTACAATAGGATACCACAGTGGGTCGTTTAACATAAACAAGATAGCATTTTGAGAAGGATGCAAAGACAGCAATGAACTTTCTAAAAACACTAGTGGGATTCTGCCCAGTTGGTCTGTCATATCTGCAGAATCACTTCAAAATATACATCCTTTACGCAACTGATTCTGATCCCATTGACTTCAATAGCCAAATTTCTGCTGACTTGGATGGAAACAAGATCAAAGTCCAGCAGTTCTGTCAGTCATAGAACAGAATGCATTTCCTGGATAGATCTCCACATTGGAGAGTAATGCCACATGGCAACTAGAGAGCATATTGTATTAGTCTAATAACTACAATGATGACAAACAAAAAACATCATGGGACAGAAAACTAGGACCATGTGTTCCAAAGAAGCACCATGAGACCAAATGGAAAAACAAAGTGTTCTCCTTGGCTGTTTCTACTGAACTGGAAAGTCAATTAAGAACAAACGTTTCTATCCTGTCCCTGGAACCCCACCCCAAAGGAAAGATAACACTTGATTTTTGGGCTTTTGAATTTTTTCAAAAGAGAATTATCACTGTTGCTTCAATATATTTAATAATCTTCCCTCAAAAAGTGGAACAGCAGGATTTTTTTAAAAAAACCCCAGATTTCAACATAAGCATATATATTTTCTCAGCAAATTGTGCTATTTGTTAATACAAGGTTCATATTAACAAAGGAAACTGTCTTTTGCCATTTTTGTTAGAAAATCTTTTCATATTTGTGATATTATTGTTAGTATCTGTAGAACAGAGCTTGGAATTAACTAGCAAATTAATCCATTATCAATTCATTAGATATCCAAGGTACTTTCAGAATGTCAGGTGTTTCCAGAATGAAATGAAAGTATTTCCTCTTCATGGAAGAGAAGTGGAACCTTTCACCCCTATTGATAATATTCTTGATTAACTTATGTTATATATTTGCTATTTTCCTGTTAAATTGCAATGAATAAGCTAACCTGGATCGAGAAAAGAGTGAACTTGTTAGACACTCAATTATTAAAATTTGAGATCCACAGATTTTATTCGGGATCCTGTGCTCCTGTGTTCTACTAATGGCTTTTTGCAGCCATATTGTTTGTTTGGGATTGAGAAGGTAGAAAGAATGCAGTGATTCAGTTGTGTCAAAAAATGTTCTACATATTCTACATGACTCTCAAAACAATTCTATTTAAGGACTTCATCAGACAGGCAGAGGAAAGCAGAGGGAAACATCAGACAGCATGGGACAGCAGAGTGAACTTTTTTACTCTGTCCCCTCCCATCCAGGCCTGTCGGTTGCCATCCCATGCCCTTTCCCCCATCAGGTCAGTCTCCCCTGTGTTTCTCCGCTTTATGCCATGAGGAGTCAGACTGTGTCTGATAAGGTCCTAAGCCTCTACTGCTTTGATTCACTGACTATATACAGCTGCCTAGTTATTTTACTTATGGTGGATCTGTATGCTCTACTTGAAAAAAACCCAACATAAGCATTCCCCATTTACCTTTAACAAAGAAGACCTATAAAAGGTGAGTGAATGATACATATTGGTGGGCATGGAAGGAAAATAGAAAAGGAATTGTTGCCTCTAATAAAGTAGACTTAAGTCTGTGAAAGACTATGCTACCAACTTCTCTCAGTCTCAAAGACGCTACACAATCCCTTTGCACACTGATTGACACTGACAGGGACATGTCTTAGAATGAAAGAGGTTGTGAAATAAGATCTCATTCTTTTAAACAGCCTTTCCCAACTGACATTTTCCAGATATGGCTTAACTCCTACCATTTTGAGACAACAGTCACATTTTAGGATTTATAGTCCAGGTTGGAAAAAACCAAAGGAAAGTGACCACATAAGGAGAAAAAAGAGCATATCTGAAGAAGTCAACAACAAAAACTCTAAGGTCAACAGTGGCAGAACCCATGCCATTCTCATTGCCTGGCTCAACACTAATATTTTAATTAATGATAACTCAATAATCATTTGAATTATTAGTGTTTGTGGCAGTGGATTAATTTCCCAAGTTTAACATTCAACGTTGTCAAATTAATGTTCAAATCTACCATTCCAAGCTCTGCTATAGAGTGAGAACTGTGCATAGATGAGAGTTTGCAATACAATTTCTGTAACCATGATCAATGCATTCATATATTATTGTTTCCTTTCCCCTTTAAATAGCCTGTGCTGAGCTTGTACTGTGAGGCTGTTTATTTTATTTTATCTTTGTGACTAGTGTCTGGGGCTAAGGCACTCTTTCATCGATGTCACTTTGCCCCTATTCACTTTGCTAACCTGGCCCTGCCGGTTGCTAAGGGCAACTGGCTTATTTATTGCAGAGCTAAAAGGAAAACACTTAGCTTTTCCATTTATTTGTCCTATACAGATTTGCATCTTTTTGTTCAGACAAGCACATACCGAAAGACTTTTAACACTAGAATCCTTTTTAAGTTTCAGTCTAAACAAGGGCTTAAAATATACATTGCAGAACCGTCATGCATCACAGAACAAGCGGAGTTGCTTCAAAGTAATGCCTTATCAGTAGCCACTATGATCATAGTCTCTGTGGTTTATATGCAGTAGCATCCACATTAATAGAAAATAGAATATAGGGAGTGAGACTACTGCATAAAGCAGTCCTTCGAGATCTGGTCACTCCTTTCAGCCTTAAGCAGCCTAGTAATTTACTTCGGGACACATCAACACTTCACTTCACCCTCCCCCCCCCCATAGTTTCAGTATTTCTATTGTGACCAGTGAGACTGATGCTACATTTGTGGATGGATTCATTCCATGGGCTGCAGAAAAAGGAGCAATGCATTCACTCTACCTACCTCAGTGGTGAACCTTTTGGCGTTGCAATGCCATAGCCTTTGGAATCCAAGTTACCTCCCACCTTCATGGTGTCACATGGCTTTCTCTGTTCAATGTACTCATTCATGGTAGACTCTAGCAGGTAGGCATACTTCCCTTTGGATCTCCTCACACGTTTCATCCCCTCTTCTGTTGTCGGCACGAAAACAGAGGGCTCAGCTGACTTCATGTACGTCCACATCTTCTCAAAAACCGCTATTTTAGATCTCTGTCCAGAATAGCATAAATCCACTGCTCTTAGCATGTATTAATACACAGAGCAGAGATTCATACACCAAGGAAGACACACATTTGCTGGGCTGTGTGCCTACATGCTACATACATATGTGTCCCTACACATTGATAAAGAGAGAAAATACTGAAGATTGAAGGCTGGTTTGCAGAGGTGAACAGTCTCCACACAAACCCTATCAGCTATTGCTTGGCATGTAGAGAGAGACTTGCATGAATTGGCACTACTCTGATATAGTTCTGCTGCAATTTTGGTGATCACAATGGGATATTTTATGGAACAAAAACTACTATGGATGGAAAAGGAACTATATGAGAAAGTAATGTTTAGCATGAAATGCATTCAGTCTACCTACCTACCTAAGGTTAAGATTGTTCGGGGAGGCCCTGCTCTCAGTCCTACCTCCTTCACAGGCACGACTGGTGGCAGGCCCGTAGCCAGGATTTTGTTTCGGGGGGAGGGGGGGCTGAGTTTGATTCAGGGGGGGGGGCATCTAGATGCATGGCTCCGTTGTCTACTATAGCAAACTTTTGTATCGTTACCCCAATACCCCCATGCATATGGGATATATTGAGCATGGTGATCAGATCATGATATGATTAAACCTAACAGTCTAAATAATGTACCAGTAAGGCCTTCTCACGGACCACCCTGAGAATTTCGGGGGAGGGGGCTGAAGCCCCCAAGCCCCCACCCCCGGCTACATGCCTGACTGGTGGGGACGAGAGACAGGGCCTTCTCAGTGGTGGCCCCTCATCTATGGAGCTCCCTCCCCAATGAAATCAGATCAGTCCCTTCTCTCCTTACCTTCAGGAAAAAAAAAACTTAAGACATGGCTCTGAGACCAATCTTTTGACAAGTAATTGGAGCATTGCAATAAGTGGTCAAGAATCAATGTGACTGACAAATAGAATGGCCTTGGACTATGTTTTGGATGGTGTGATTTTACTTGATGTTTTAATAATTCAGGTTTTAATTGTAGGTTTTTAATTGTAATTGTATGTTTGATATTTGTGTAAGGCATCAAATTGTTGCCTGTTGTAAGGACGCCTTGAGTCCCCTCCTGGGTGAGAAAGGCGGGATACAAATAGAGTAAATAAATAAATAAATAAATAATGAAATATAACAGTTGAGGCCCAGTCCTAGTATAAATCCTAAATTCTAGCCCTCTGTTGAAGCACTAACTCAGTGTCAGTGCACATGTTAGGTAGGCAAAGATCCAATCTATAGAATCTCCAGTATTTTGTAGTATCTCTACTGTTGACTCAAAGTGGAAGTCTCTGTATATCTTTTCCAGACTGATGATATGTTTCTATTGCCAGGCTGGAAAAGATATTCAGAGACCTGCACTTTGAGTCAACAATAGACCTGAACTTTGAATAAGCACTTTTAAAAATCTTGGATTTGTAATCACGAAGAGCAACGGAATTTAATTATTTCAGTTGTATTCTATGGAGGAGTAAATGGGCTAGATGAAACATAAGAGAGAGATGAGAAATAGAGGACACTGCGCTACTAGAAGACTTTGTTCTTTTGGAACCCTTGCTACACAAACCCCATTTGACTGTAACATCAGTGTACTTACATACAGTAAATGATGCCATTAAATTACAGAGTTAACAAAGTACTTATTATTCTCTAAACCTGAACTGCAAGTCACAGGGTAATTACTTTTAATGCTGCTCACTGTAATTACTCAGTAGTCTGTGAAAGTATATAATTACTCTGAGTTTCTAGGGTATTAAGAGTATCTTGTAGAACCCTGTGTGTGTTGGGCTAGTATGAGTTTTTGCTTTGTATATTGAAGTCAGAACTAATTTCTCTTACCCTAAAGAATTCTTTAGTTGAACCAGCATCTAGAGTTCCATAAGCAATCTCTGTTTGCTTGGCCAAGTCTTCAGCACTCTCTATGGGAGACACCATTCTCTCTACAGTCAAGAATGCGGCTAGATTGGCCGTGTAAGACGAGATGATGATCAGGGTGAAAAACCACCAGACCCCACCAACTATGCGACCAGACAAGGATCTGCAGGAAAAAGAAAACAGAGGGAATGAGTTGAATTTTGGGAAAAAAAAGGCATTGCTAAAGTATAGACTACAGTCCACAGAACTCTGCTCTGGCACAACCACAAATGCATGGATAGGTAACTTGTTGAACTGCTGACATATCACAGGTTGCCCCCAGCGGTCAAGTGAAATGCATTTGGTGTGCTGCTTATCCAGATTTCGGTAAAGCTGTAAAATAAATTTTTGCCTATAGTTGCATTTAAAAAGAAGAGGTATTTTGCCATCTTCTAGGTATCACTGGTTTACAACTTCTAATATTCTTCACCAGCAGCTGTACTGGCTAAGGATGTTGGGAACTGCAACTGAAGAACCTCTGGAGAACTGTATTAAATTCTACCAATCCAGAGCAGTATTTCTATATTATGCCTTATTTAGGATGTGGAGGTGACTCTTCAGTAGCTACTATTCCATACTATGGGCTGTTTGCATGCACACCTCTGCGCACATACAAACTCCTTTTGTGTGTCTTCTATAAGGATCAGTGGAAGACAGTGGCTTCCATGGCAGGGTTGAAGTCAAGCTAGTCTGAGCTATCCAAGGTGCTGAGTTTTATTCCTTACTAATAAATTTGACATTTTGGGTGGTTTGTTTAAAGTCTGGACTAACATCCAGAATGGATTCACCATATCATTAATGTGATAGCCATTGATCACCACTGCCAAAGGTTCCAGTTTATGGTAGCATGGCATAGGGATGTATGCAGTTGCCTTTTAATCCTTGCAAGTGAGGCCAACTCATTTTCACAATTCTCTCAGTGGAGAATGTGTGTGTGTGTTTGCACAATATTCACCTAATAGTTGTCCATCCTAAAACATTTCGAGAAACTGTTCTGCACAGAAATTGATTCATTCTTTTTGTGTGAAAATGTTTTTTTCCAGACAGTCATTTGTTTTTACTGCAATCCTGTATGAAAAATCCATGTGGCTTTTCTGCATGTATATGGACAATATTGTGTTGTTTATAGATAGCCCTGTGTGTCTTTTTTGTGCAAAAATATTGAGTGTGTGCACATGCACAAAAAATAGTAACCTTACACAAAAGGGGGTTACTTGGAAATGGAGGTTAGAATCCTGTGTAGACTTTATGTATGTGTAAGTGCTGAAGTTAAGAATACTTTGAATTTTGGTGTGACCTCCACCCCATGAATCCCATTTATAAAGTAGGAGCCACTGAGATTGATGTGACCCATTTCATCCTTTCTCAGGAAAAAGTTGGATGTCATTTCCATTCCCTCCTTTGAGCAATCCCCATTGTGGCAGGTAGGAAGAGTCATAATTCCCCCTCACATCAGAGATCACTAGTACAGTGCACAAGAAGTGGGTGGAAATAGCAATGAGACACATCCCAAGCAAGTAGGAATAGATCCCCATCAAAGGCAGCAACAGCTGACTGTTAAATGAGATTGCAGGACTTTCACAGTTCCCACATAAAGGCTATGTAAGGACTGCGAATATGGAATAGTCACAAGTGTGTAACTGCAAATTACACATTTGCAACTGTGATTCTGGGCCTATTTTCACCCCTTCAAAATATATGGTTTGGATAAAATTCCATATGTATTGCTACTCTACTCAAAATAATTCCAAAAGTAAGAACGTCGCCTGAAAGCTGTGTCAGATTGTTGTTGCTGCTACTGTGTTCCTTCAAGTTGTTTCTGACTTATGGCAACCCCAAGGCATCCCTATCACAGAATTTTCTTGGCCAGAGGTGTTCAGAAGGGATTTACTCTTGGCTTCCTTTGAGGCTGAGAAAGTGTGACTTGCCCAAGGTCACCCAGTGGGTTTCCAATGGAGATTTTAATCCCAGTCCATAGAGTTATAGCCCAATGCACTAATGACTATACCATGTCACCTCTCTTGTAAAAATTTCTTATTACTGTGTCATTCTTCTCAACTAGGTTTCCTGACACCTGGGAAACCAACATTTCAGTCAGAAAATGAATAACAGTGGGAATTCTTTTCATCTCTAATGTGGGGACCAATAACACAGTGACCTTCAATCTGTATAAAGAGAGACTTCAAACAAATAATATCTACTTGGTGTATCAACAATAGATGAAAGAAAGAAAATAAATGTCAGGATAAACTGACTGGACTTTCCCTAATGATTTTATGTATACTGAAAGTGGACTACAATGCAAAGAAGATTACCATGAGAGCAGTGAAAAATGAGCCTAGAATATGGCATGATGGAGTGGCCAGCTCTGCTTCTCAGCACTGCCAGCATGCTGCCAGCATGGAGTCCATCAAATGAGGCAATGCTACTTCCTAAGGAAGGGTGTCCCTGGGCTCCCTGCTGGCAGCATGCTAGCAGTGCGGAGAAGCAGAGCCCAAAGGAGTCAAGAAGCTGGGGAGGAAGGAGGAGGAAGACAGGGACAGCATGCAAACATTGTGGGATGGGATCCCACAACCAACGGCAGTAAGGGAACAAATCAGTACACTGCCCCACAATTTCCCCTGGTGTTCCCCAGCTTCTCAACCTCCATGTGATGAAGTCCTTAGTCCAGTCCTTTTTAAAGGTAGTAACAGGATAGCTCTAGTTATGCGTCAAACAGAGGCTGGATGGCCATTTGTTGTGAGTACTTTAATTGTGTATTTCTGCATAGCAGAATAGGTTTGGACTGGGTGGCCCTTGTGGTTGCTTCCAACTCTGTATTTCTATTATTCTGAGGAAAGAGTTGTGCTTTTTTAAAATGCAAGAACCACTTTTCAGAATCTACGTCAGTGGAAGTATCGTGAACAAAAAGATCTCTCTACCCCCATTTCTATCACCTAATGTCTGTGATTTTGCAATTGGAAAATCATATCCTGTTCAAGTTACCCTTGTTGGAGAAAAGTACAAATTATAGAAAGTATCAAAAGAAAGGGGTGGTGTAACCCAGCCATTTTGCCAATTATCTAGGTCAAGATGAACGACAAATGTAGCCTTTAAAGAGTTCTGCTATGCAATTTGCATGGATAAGCGAAATGAAACTAGCTCATGTATGCATTCTGCTCTTCCAGCTCCGTGATTCTGGTGGGCTGACCAACATTTCAAAAAATGAATAAGCATGTCTAGTATTACACATTTATGTGTCATCTTTCACCTTGTGTTGCCCTTCCTTAAATTGTAAAGTAGTTGCAAAATGAGCATCTGATGAAGAGAGAGTTGTTTCAGTGTCTATTCAGAAATAAGTTGTATGAAATTCAATGAGACCCTTCTAATGTCAAGAATTCTGACTACAGGCAGTCCCTGAGGTACACACATCCAGCTTACAAACAATTAGTTAAGAATGGGGGTGAGACAACAGGAAGGGAGAGAAATCTATCCCTAGGAAAGGAAGTCCACTCCTGGAAGAGGTATCATGGGGAAAAGGTCCCTCAACTCAAGCTTTGTCACCAATCCTTGTTTCCACAACAAGCCAAATGTTTCAAAATGCAATTATCACAGGGACAGAAAGTGAGGTGAAATCTTATGAACAGGGGCTCAGGCAGCAAAAACAAACACCACAGGGCCACTAATACTTTCCCATGCTATTCAAACCATCCCCATCCATCCCTCTATCTCTCTATTCTGTGGGTTTGTTCAAATTCAACTTAAGAACAAACCTACAGAACCTTTCTTGTTCGTAACTTGGGGACTGACTTTATGGCTGGATTCCCCCCAACTCCAGGGGCTACTTGTGACAGGGGAGTTACTTACTTATGATAAGGAGAGTTACTTATGGCTATAACTCCCCTTCTTTGAATAGAATGGTGAAAGGGGAGAGCTTTGTTTGTCCCAAGAGAACCTGAAAAAAGCACTGACTCCATTTACTCTTTCCACTGTGCTGCTGCTTCTGGACTTTTTGAATGCCTGGTTGCGAAAATAACATCCAGAGTAGAGGGGGTTGTTGTTCTCAACTTATCTATGGGTCATATTCAAATCCATAATTTTGGCCTCAAAATCTGTCCTCACCATATAGAGGACAACATGTACACCAGTATATAAAGCGGTGGTTTTCAACCTGTGGGTCCCCAGGTGTTTTGGCCTACAAGTCCCAGAAATCCCAGCCAGTTTACCAGCAGTTAGGATTTCTGGGGGTTGAAGGCCAAAACATCTGGGGACCCAGAGATAGAGAACCACTGATATAAAGTATTATTTATTTTCCAGCAGAATAATGAAATATTCAACATTCAAGGGACCCTGCCAAGAAAAACAGTAATTCATTCTCTGCACTTTGCAAAGCCTGTGGGGGGCATTATTCTTTGGATGTCTATAGAATATAGATGGTTTTGTTTGTTTATTTGCACAGAAAACATCTTTGAGCTCCACATGAAAAATATGAAGATTTAAATCTGAAGTTCAAACTCAACTAAATCATTTAATCATGCGCCTTTGATTATATAATCTTATGATCTTTTGGATGTGAGAATTAGGAGGATACTAGATTTATCCTTAGTCTCAGAAGAAACTGAAGGTATGTTTCTCCCTTGTAACTATGTAATGACTTCATTAACACATTAACCATTTTATATCCTGGAAGACCATTTATTGATTTATTTTATCCCATCGTTCTCTCAATCTAGGGATTCAAGGTGGCTATTTGAATGTCTTCTTCCTAAATGTGACAAAAGAAAGTCTGTTACAGAAACTGCATCTATTTTTTTTTTGCAAATGGCAAAAATAAGAGTTAAAATGTTGCCTAATCAAAATCTTGCTTTTGCTGCACTGCAGTTTTTTATATGCTTATTGGTTTTGATTTGGAGTTCTATTTTCAGGTCTGTTGCCTGAATCAATATTTCACCTACCCATTTAGAATAAAATAACTTGTCAGGTAAAGCTGGGAGATTGAGCAAAGAGGTGGTATCAGATAAATACCAAATGTGCCTAGTGGCAAACCCATCCATAATAAATCTGCACCTTTTCACTTTTTTTGAAATGGTGCAAATGAAAAGCCATCACCTTGGTATAGATGTGGTCTGCCCCTAAACGAGAATG